AAGTGTCATGGCAGGGGGGTTGGAACTAGATGATCTTTAAGGTCCCTTCCAATCCAAACCATTCTGTGATACTGTGGAAATTTCATCATTAAGTGCTAACAGGCACTGGAGCTGAAGAAGTGTACCCCAGCAAGTTTTAGCTGTACAAATGAAGGTTGCAGAACCTGCTGGAAGAGTCACAGCTTTTTTTCCCCCACTCCTTTTTCTAGTATAAATCTGTAATGTTGTACATACATACTATATGTACAGTCTCCAGTAACCACTTACAGTATTGGTATAAACATTGGTCTCTGCCAGCTGTGCATTTGCCAGCAGTCTGTAGCTTAGCTTTTCATGTTGGGCATTCTGTGATCTTAGGACATGAACAAGTCTGACATTGAAGCAAAACCTTTGGTGTAACCTCCTATTTCTTTAAGTTGCTTGTTGAAGAGTGAGGGTGACTTGCACTCATCTTGTCCAGGTGCTATTTATCCCCGTGAGAGATAGAATCATAGACTGCTTTGGGTCACCACCCTCTCCAGGAAGAATTTCTTCCTGATATCCAATCTAAGTCTCTCTCCACTTTCAATTTAAACCCGTTACCCCTTAGTATATGGAATAGGAAGGTCTGCAGCATACTCCTGGCCAGTCTACAATATTTGTATGTAAGTTTTCCTTCAAACTTTCAAGTTGGTGAAAATCTGTTCCATGAGTCACTATGTATCCCTGAGACAGGATGAGAGAGAACTTTCTTCTTCTGTTTAGTGGTGGTGGTGGTAGTTGATGAAAGCAGTCTCAGACTGGTTACCCAGAGATTGACGCAGTACTTGCATAGTAAATTCACTACAGCAAGAAAGCAACATGTCCTAAGAAACAACAGTAGAGAAAAAGCTAAAACTATAGGGACTAAGGAAAATCCAAACAAGAGATACTAATAATCTTTCCTCTGCTTTGAACAGCTATATTACCTGTTAAATTCATAAAAGGCGTTATAATGAAACAATGCAGCTGTCCTTTAAATATATAAAGGAATAAGGCTTGTAACCAGGTTGGTTGAGCTGAATGTACAAAGTTAGTGTGTTGAGTGATGGATGCGGTACAAGTGAATATAAAATATTAAGGTTGAGTTTATGTACCATCAGCAGGCAGACTTTATGCTTTCTTCTATTATATCACAGATTTGAGGACTAATGTAACTTACATAGGAAGGAGCTCTGAAGGTCAGCTGGTGGTCACTGGCTAAGAGCAGTACCAGTTTCCAAGGATGGAGATTTCACAACCCCTCTAAGCCCTCTGCTCCCGTGTTTGACTCTCCTTGTGGTGAATAATTTATTCTGTATGTCTGATTGAATTTCCTTTGCTGCAACTTAGTCCCATTGTTCCTTTTCCTTTCACTTTGCTCCTCAAGGAAGACTCAGGTTCTCTCTATCTACTCTCATGAAGTAGCTGAAGACGGTGGTAAGGTCTTTGATTAGTTCTCTCTTTTTAAGGCAGAACAAATCCAGTTCTGCAGCCTCCTTTTTTATACAGTGTGCTCCAAGCTCCTGGTCATCATGTTGTCTTTCAGTGGACTCATTTCAGTTCTGTCTTTTGGTGCTGGGGAGGCCAAAACTGGACACAGGACTTGACCTTCAGTTTCATGATTTCCAAATAGAGGGGTGGAATCACTTCACTGGACCCACTACAGTTGCATTCTTAGTAGTGCAGCCCAGTGCCCAGTAGGCCTTTTTGACTTCAGAGTACACTGTGGTTCTTGTGTTACTCCTATTTGATGTGTCCACCAGAATCTATCTTCTTTTTCTGTAAATCTGCTTACAAACCAGTCTTTCTCAAAATGTCTTGCTCCATGGAGTTACTTTCTCCCAATACCATACTTCACGTTTGCCTTTGAACTTCACATGGTTCCTGTCAGCAAATTTCTCCAGCCTATAAAACTACATCTGAAAGGTAGCCCTGCCCTCCAGCAAGTCCACTTGCTCGCCAGCTTCATCTGTGAACTTCCCAGTATCCTTTTATTTACTTTCACAATATTTGACTCTCACTGCATATGTAACTATAAAATAAACAGATGTCATTTATGAAATATCTTCATCAGTTTTAAAACTTACTGTAAGCATGTGTTCAAACAGCAGAAGTTTTCCAAAAGCCTGAATGAATAAACAAGTGGTTCTAATTTCTTTCCACTTGAAAGATAATGCAGTCTCCTTTGCTCTAACTTAAAAATTGCATAAACATAAAACAGATTGTTCCAAACATATATTGGAGCTATGGTAATCTTTACAATACAGAATCTTGGGGTGAAACGTATTTTGATATGATTCCCAAAGTACCTCATGTTTTAAAGAACACTATGTGATGTTCTACCTGCAAATCGTTTTTCAATCATTTCAGTTTTCAATTTAATAAAATGCAATTAAAAATATATTTTAACAATAGAAACACTTGTCTGTTGTATTTCTTTCTTAGAAAAATTATAGAGTAGCTGAGGATGAAGGATAGTCGGCATTTAAGAAAAAATAGTCAGATCAAGTTAATGTGCTACATTCAGTGCATGTAAGAATTTGCTTGGTCATGTCACAGTAAATTGAGATGATAGTTCCACCTCCACTACTGTAATCTGATTTTAAACTACATCTCTTTTACCATTTTTATGACTGTAAGTCTATGTGTAATATATGTTATATGACGTGACTAAAAAGAAAGTGAGAGTTCAGAACTGGGTGCTCTTGGTAAAATTTGATAACAAGTATCTTATTCCTCTTCTAATTGTCAAAGAATGTAACAGAAATGCCTGACATCTGATGATGGATCAAAGAGCAAGAATGCAGGTCTTCTTGCTCCTCCATAGGTGGAGTTGGAAGTAAAACTGAACACTTCCACAAAGCACCTTCCTCCTTCCCTGCAGTGCCTTCATCACTTTAGTGTTCAAACTGCTGCCCAGTTGCTTTTGTATGAGGAATATTCAAAGAGAGAAAAAGGGCTATTTCCCACAGTAGCTGTGACTTAGGGAGCTGTTTTCAGAGTATGGGGCTCCCCTAAAAGTGCAGAACTGAGCAGAGCTTTAGAATTATTCTTAGTATATGAAGCAAACAGCTTTTAAGGCACAGTTTGACAGCTGGGAGTGCCTCAGCTCCATCTAGAGCTTGAAATGGTTGCAAGGCCATTGCTTTGTCTTGTCATTTTGAAGGTGATATGTGGGAAAAACTATATTAACTAGGATAAATGTATCCGCTCATCACTTAGGAGTTTGTCTAATCCTGGAGTATTGAAAACCCTAACTCCCACTGACCTCATGAGAAGTGAGAGCTACCTCGCATCTAGGAGATGTCAACACTACGGTACTTCTCAAGCCTCTTCTGTATTGATCACTATTCCTTGTGTGTTTGAATGAGTTGCTGTTATGTGTGTTTTCCAAGGAGGCAAGAGAACTGCTTTGTTTTAGTAATATCTTTCTATTATAAATACAGAATATTCTATAGGAGATGTTTGTGCTAGAGACAAAAATATGTTGTTTTCATTTTATTTCAGATGCTTCAGGCATGCTCAGTGCAGCACCTACCAGTACCATATGCAGCATTTCCACCCCTCATTTCTAGTGACCCATTCCTTTTGCATCCACCTCATATCTCCCCACACCACCCTCCTCACTTACCTCCTCCAGGACAATTCGTTCCTTTCCAAGCACAGCAGTCACGGTCGGTAAGTAATGCTTCTTACCTCTCTCTCTCTCTCTCTCTCCATAGAATTGATAGGGCTGGATAGGCAAATAGTGCTGATACCTAATTGAGGAAACAGGAGGATTTTGTTTAAAGTAGTTGGTTTTAGCACTTAAGGCTTCCTTGGCAAGTCTGTAGCTGCTTAGGGTGAAGGGTTGGGGGGGGAGTTCACCATGTTTTTCTTCAGATTCCATTTGCTGTTGTCTGTGCTGTTTCTCCATAGGCCTTTACTTTTGTCAGAGAGATGCATATTTGCCTCGCCAACTATTTCTTCAGGTATTTTTTTCCCAGGAAGTGGATTAGAATCCAGAGGAGGTTGTGTTGTGCAGTAGTGGTCTCAGAGAAAAGCTTTGCAGAGAGAGAAGAAAGCACAGAATGTTATTTTCATTATATAATTATTCTGTATTATTTCTCAGTTAATTTTTCCATGACCAGTGCTTCTCCTAGAACATAATGACCTTAGGTTTTTTTTTTTTTGGTGGTTTGTTTTTACTTCTCACTTACAGAAGTTACTGATGCCTTCTGTTTAAGCAGACTTGGCTTAGTGAGTGGGACTGTGCAAACATGGGAAAATGTGATCCTGTTTTGGATTTATGGGGAAATGAGATTTTCAGTTCTGGCCTACAGCTGTTACTGTGGGATTATCTGTATTCTTGTGTCCATTTGTTAGCCCCTCTGACAAGAAGATGTCAGTATTTCACTAATGCAGAAGTAGAAAATCTTCATTGTTATTTACAAACATTGCTGAGACTTCTGCATGCTGTGACTCAAGTGTGGATAGGGTTGTAATCACTTTGTTGTGATGATAGAACAGCTAGGAAAATACAGTTTTCAGTGGTAATCTTCATAAGACTTGACTTCATGAGACTTTAGATGGGTTTTAGCTTGGGTTGCTTACTTAAGTTTTTGACTAGGCTTGCCCCTCAACTTTCAGCTTTGGCAAAAAGCTTGTACCTTAGTGGTTTAAGAATACCTTGTGTTTAAAGTTTGCTCTGCATAACAGGGAAATGGAATATTCCTTTGGTTCCAAAAGGTGGCTTTCTTAGCTGAATTTCTTGAAATGATGTAATTAAGTGTCAGGAACAGAAAGGTGTGTTAATGAAACTGACAGTACCTGGTTGAGCACTTTGGGATCTGACTGATATACTACACCTGACTAGATTACAGTACTGAACTGGAATCTCATGCATCTGAAATGTCTGGACTGTGTGTTCTTGGTAGGATTGCTTGCATGATTCTCCTAGGACAGCATCTGCTTGATTACTGAATATCATTAGCAGTTTAATCCACTGGAGTCGCCATGTTTCCTCTCCACTTCTCAGATTTTTCTGGCACAATTTCAGTTCTTGTCTATGGTTGTTTATTTTTTTCTCTCGCATAGTTGTACAGTGAGAGCAGCCTGGCAAGAAGGAGAGCAAATATTTGTCCTGAAAAATGCAAGACACAGGAAATTACAGCCACTCCTATATTTGCTAGATCGCATAAATTCCTGGTCTATAAGCATGGCTAGCTGGACAAGGTGAATTTATATCAAATGTGTAGTGTTGTCTTTGCTTTTTGGTAGTGTTAATGACAGGGGAATTGTTCACAGAATTACTGTGTGAAACAGAGTACAATTATACCTGTACTTTTTTTTTTTTTTACCCTATAAAATTGACCACAGCAGCTCAGAATATACAGCTGGGATTACAGTTCTTTACTGGGGAGAAACTGCATCTCTATTAATGCAGCAAATCCTATTTATTTTTTTTTTTTTTTTTTTTAGCCACTTCAAAGGATAGAAAATGAAGTAGAACTGCTTGGAGAACATCTTCCTGTAGGAGGTTTTACATACCCTCCCTCAGCCCATCCACCAACATTGCCTCCCTCAGCTCCTCTCCAATTCTTAACACATGACCCTTTACACCAGGAGGTGTCATTTGGTGTAGTAAGTATTACCTTCTGTGCTACATTCACGTTCATGCTGCATTGACATTCTTGATCTTTATTTTGTAGTACATTTTGTCAAAAAGTGGCACTTCTTGCAGTTGTATTCCATTACTGGCTGTACCTGCATACTGTGTCATTTTCTTTAACCGTTTTAATGAAGTTTAACAGTAGCTTAATGATACTAGCAAATTACTTCTGATAACAGTATCTGCAGACTGTCGTAACAGTTACTTAGAAAAAATCCATGTTGCCACACAGTCCAGGACTTGTACTGCAGAAACAAATTAGTAGAGTTCAGAAAAGCTGCTGTCACTTTTAGCTAATTCTTCGTCATATGTTGTTTTCACAAGTCAGGAAAGATGGAATGCTTTAAAAATAGTTCTTCTCCAGAGTGTTTGTAATCTGCAGGCAAGCAGTTGTATAGAGCGTTTCCATAATTTAGACTGCACACATTATAAAAACAGACAAGCCTTCTTTAAGCCAGCTTTCTGGGGATCTACAGGCAGTTCAACTGCAGCAGCACAAAAAAAGTAATTAAACCTCGTGCAGGATAAAGTGTGTGTTGAATCTTATGATTCTGTGGAATGTCAAGTACCTGTGCTGGCTCTGGGACCTTTGGTGAACTTTATTTATAGTCCTGAGATGGCTTTTTTTTGGTGGTTGTTTTGTGAGGTTAGTGTTTGGGTTTTGGGGTTTGTGGGGTTTTTTGTTTGTGCATGGGGCTTGTTTGTGTTTTGTTTTTTAAAAAAGGCTCAAAGGTTTTTTTAATGTTTGACCTGTGCATCAAGTTGAAAGAATGTTTTAGAGGCATATCGTTATTTAAAATCTTAAATGAGAATTAAATTTTAGGCCCTGTAACTACAGAATGTTCTCTTTAATTAGCCTTCTTGAAGTCATAAAACTTAGATAAATGCTTGTTGCAGTTTTTATAAAGATTCAAATTATTTTCCACCATTTAAAAAAATTATTCAGTTCATTGTTAAGCTAGAGGTGTACATATTTTCAAAGCAGTTTTCTGTCACTGAGTCCGTGGAGACAGACACACTTAAAAACTTTTATAAACTGCTTGTATTTTATTCAATATGCTTGTTAGATGAACTACAGTCTAATCACAACCATTTTGGTTTGAGTGAGGCTTTGTTGATTTCCAAGTTCAGTCTTTAAAAGTAGGTAAGGAACAAAATACTGTTTTTTTGCAGATTATATAGCATTTGTCCTCTCTGATGCTTCAGTTCTGGGTCATGTCTCACTCAGGAGTAGAATAGAGGTGTGTTACAAGTAATCATATGGTCTTTTATAAAGCAGTCCTAAATCTTTATATAATTTTACTTACACATTTTTGGACCGCAGAGTTCCTGAAGCAGTACAGCTGATAATCGCTATGTCTAGTTTGAGACGTGACTTTTAAGAAAAAGACTGGCTCTTTTGCATTGTGTTTATATTCATATGTAAATTTCATGTATGACCATGGCTACCTATTAATAATGTTTCCATTGGAAAGTTAGGGGGTTTTAGGTTAGTCATTGGTGTTGGGCTTTTTTCTTAAATTTCAAACATGGAAGAAGAAAACATGTTAGTAAAGGCTTTGAGTATTCTTTATTTAAAAAAAAAAAGTCTCAAGGCTTTCAATTATGTATTCAGTTATGAATTCAATAGTGGTACATTAATTTCAGATCTCAAAATTACTGAAAAAATCTAGTACTTTGAATATTTTTGGAAAAAATGTAGTTTGCATTTTTTAAAGATTTTTTTTTTTAAGACACTTTTTTTTTTTTGAGGCTTCTTTACTCAACCACTTGTGTGCAAGCCTGCATAATAGCACCAGGCCTAAAGCTTGAGCTTTTAACTTCACAAGACTCAGCAGTTCAGTTCCTGTTTCCCAAACCAGCCTGCATGTACACTAAGCACACAAGAGTTTGTATGAATTTCTGTCATGTGTTATTACTTTATGGACTGATATGATAGTGTGTTTTCAGCGGGAATCTTTTCAAATTGAGGCTGAGATTCTTTTGCATTTGAACATAGGCTGGATTTTTTTATCAATGCATTACTGAAAATGGATTTGATTATTCAGATTTCATTTTATTTCATGATTAAGAAAACAATATGTTGAATAACAAAGCCACAGACTGGATGAGGTTGGAAGGGCAGTCATCTGGTCCAACCCCCCTGCTCAAGCAGGGCCACCTAAAGCCAGGTGCCCAGGACCATGTCCAGTCAGCTTTTGAATATCTCCAAGGAGGGAAACTCTGCTGCCTCTCTGGGCAACCTGTGCCAATGCTCCAATGCTCAGTCACCCTCACAGTAAAGAAGTGTTTCCTGATATTCAGACGGAGCCTCCTGTGTTTCAGTCTGTGCCCATTGCCTCTGGTCTTGTCACTGGGCACAACTGAAAAGAGCCTGGCTCCGTCTTCTTTGCACCCTCCCTTCAGGTATTTATATACACTGATAAGACCCCCCCTGAGCCGCCTTCTCTCCAGGCTGAACAGTGCCAGCTCTCTCAGCCTTTCTTCATAAGTAAGATGCTCCGACCCCATCTTAGTGGCCCTTCGTATGTACCCTTCGGCCCAGTATGTGCATGTCTGCCTTGTTGCTGGGGAGCCCAGAACTGGACACAAGTTCCAGTTCCACCAGTTCCAGTTGAAGCTTATTTTCTTCTTTCTTGCAGCCTTACCCACCTTTTATGCCTCGAAGACTCACAGGGCGCAGCAGATATCGATCACAGCAGCCAATACCACCACACCCTTACCATCCCAGCCTATTACCTTATGTGCTGTAAGTTCAAAGTACATTTGATTCCATGCAGGCTATTAAGAAGGCAGGTGACTTTCAACAAGAGTCAGCACATTTTATGGTTGTGCTCTGTTAGAGAATCGGCATAGTTCAGCTGTCCTAGAGAGGAGATCTGCCATTTCTGTGTAAATTTTTCAGCCTGTTTTGAACAACATACACCCTGGTGCAAGGAAAAATATAAGGCAACAATTTTGTCCAAAGTATTTTTGTGGGTTTTTCTGAGGCGCTGTTACTGAACTCTTCATAAATCTTCAACAAATCATAAAACTTGGTTCATGGATACTCCTACTTGGTTACACCATAGGATAAAGCCCTAGGAGTCTTCTGTTATGGAATAAATTCATTTGGTTTTGGTTCTTAATTATGAAACACAAGGTGGGAACTTTCAGTGATGTTACTCTTTATTGGCTGAACTGCTAATCTGTTACAGCCTTTGAATTTCTGTTCTGCCTCTGATTAGCTGTTTCTGGAAAAGATATGGGGCAATTAACATTTAGGAATTGCCTGTAATGTGTTATGGTAGACATTCCATGGGACAATTTGGGTATATGAAATGAGATTTAATACTCTATGTTCTGTTTTGGAAAGAAGTATGAAATGTTTGGAAAACAAAGATTGTTTTCTGGTGTCAAAGGTAACATTGGCAAGGAAATATTCGAACATTGGCATCTGTAGTTTCTCTCTGCAATTTCAGTCATAGCATGAAAATGGCACCAGAAATCTGATGTAGTGAAGCTGTTCCATTTTGCGTCTTACAATCTGAGAAAAATGTTACAGCTTCTGCCCTGTCCATTGAGGACATGATGTGGCACAGTAATTCCTGATGACTTCAGTGGGATTTTAGTACTGTGAAATTGTGATTTCTGTGTCTGTGTGTTAAGTTTTGAATCATAGTACTATCTTGGGGGCTAAAACCACATGTTGAATATAAAAATGCAAAAACACCTCTCTTGCCTCTTTGAAGGCATTCTGCTTTAACCAGCATCACAGTATATGAGAAAGTGGGTTTGTGCTTGCATTCAGTATGGCAGTTGGTCCAGTAATTGTTCTTCATTGTGCATTTTAGTCTTAGAGAAGTTTCAAGGTTTTTGTATTGGAGAGCTAAGTGAACTTAGGGTTCTTTTTCTTTGTTGATATTTTATCCACTTAAAATATATTTGAAACCAGAACATCAATTTATTGACACATGTAGCTTTCCATAATCTGTGATAATGAAGAGATTAGTTTTTGTAATAATGCTGTGAGCCTGGTTGGAAGTTAGCAGTTGAGACATGCATGCAATTAAAAAGGCAGCACTCCCAGTACCAAAAAGTGACAGAATTAGCTTTTTCCTTTGACTGTTTCAGTTCAAACATCTATTCTTGACTTCAAACTTAACTTTTTTACCAGTTTGAAGAACTTTCTGATATGAGAGGGATTAATAAGGTAACTTTACCTCTCCCAGATGTTTCTG